AGCTTAGTCTGAACCACATCAACTGAGTTCATAATATTAGAGCTGCAAATAGAACTTATTCTTCAAGTTACTATGATTCACCTTTGTTTTGTTGCAACCATGCATTCCACTTAAATGTGTCCTCTGCACCTAACCACACCTTAGCAACAGGTGAGCAGCTTGTATCCCTTGAAGCAGTGACGTGTGACGGGGAGGCAGAGCCTCACCAGTCATCATGACAAGGAGATTCTGTGATTAAAAGAGAGAAAAATCAATATGTCCACTTATCTGGTCAATAGATGTGTTTTCTGCTTGTGTAGAAAATACCCAACTGACATTTTTTACACAACAAACCAGTCTAGATGAGGGTTATGGCTGAGTAACCAGCTAAATCCTAGGACCATGGTCCCCAGAGATGGTAGGTTCTACAGGTTTGGCCCGAACCATGATTTTGTGAAGAGGCTTACCATCTAAAGGTCTGGTTATACTCCCCGCAGCAGTGTCACAGTTAGCTTGTTGCAGATATTTTTGATTTATGCCCAATATTGAAGCGTGGTCTGCGCTGTTATTACACGCCACAACATCAGAGGGCCAATCAGGAACTAGCTGTGGGTCTAGATACGGCCGAGGCGGTGAGGAAGTGGGGGCGAGTTTGTGCGACAACAGAGGGACATGAGGGCCAAAAAGAGCGGGGATCCAGGTGGAAAAAGGGTCAGAGCGTTCTCGCGCACCTCGCTCTCTAGCTGGTCCATCTTCACCAGTCGTTTTCCAAAATGGCGGTCATGCAAACAAAACAAGCCGGTAAGATACCAAACAGGACATACGCATAGAGTAGAGTTGATGTAGAGTTGAGGGGGCGGGGACGTCTCCGCGTTCAATGCAAAACCTACACAGACGACCTGGTTTCGAAGTATAAATCAACGTTAAGGCGAAGAGGAGCAAGGCTGTTGTTGTCGGAAATTTTAGATATCTCTAATTTCATATATTGATTTATGCTATTAACTCACTATAAAAGTTTTTCACTCAGTCTGTTTCATCTGCAAGGCCACAAAATTCCTGAGTTAGGGGTGTTTGTGGACAAGACATACTTCTTCCCTTAACAAGCCAGATTCTTTGTCAAGGTTTATTCATAACATGTTACTGTTTAACCAAAGTGTCTGTAATTGGTTTTGACTCTGATTACTTTCAATTATTCTAAATAAGGGGGAAGGAACGCTGTCCAGATCAGAACGGGGCTGATTACCATGCAGGGAAAAGCAGTGCTTTTAGGGGCTAGACAGTTTGCCAGAATCTCTTTGAGGCAAACCAATAGTTTTCGTCCATGGCCTCTCCACGATACCTGCTTGCTGGTTGAGGAGTCCTGCAAGCTAGCCAGGCTCGAAGGGACCCTTCATCAGCTTAACAGTATCCCTTACTGCTGGTGTGCACTACCCGGTTCGGGGATTGCCACCGCGACAGGCACCACAGACCTTCCAGCCACAGCCAGGGGCAGCCGTATTAGCATCAGAGACTGAGAACAAGACCAATTCAGTTCTCCTGGTATTGGGAGTTGAACACATCCCTGACCCAGGGCTCCACCACATGTTCCCACTAGACCCTCACTACTCGCAGGTGGTGAACCCGGCCAGGGCCCCGAAACAACCTGACCAACAGTTGTGCTCTAACAAGATCTTTTTGTCATCATGGGGGCTTTTTTT